AAACAAAAGAAAATAAGGGACAACAAGTAACCGAAAAAACAGTAAACCAAAGAGCAAGAACAAAATAAAAACCAGAAATGTATGGAAAACAGAAAAATGAAAAGCAAACATGTTGGGAAGAATTAAAAAAAAAATAAAAAATGGAAAGTAGTGCGGAAGGAAACGACGTAACCCGTATTGGATGAACAGCAAAATTACGCAAAAAAAAAGACGAGAGCATTGTTCAGAAAAAAAAAAAAAGGAAAACGGTAAGAAAAAAAAAAAAAAAAAAAAATTGCGCAAAAAAATTAGGAAAAAAAATTAAAAAAAAAAAAAAAAAATTTTTTTTTTTTTTAATTTTTTTTTTTTTTTTTTTACGCAAATGACTCAGTTGCGTAGTGCAGAAAAGAAAAAAAAAAAGGAAAACGGTAAGGAAAATAAAAACGCGAAAAAAATTGCGCAAAAAAATTAGTTAAAAAAAAATTGCACAAAAATAGTAGTCAAATTTTTTATTTTTTTTATTTTTTACGCAAATGACTCAGTTGCGTAATGCAGAAATTAGGGGGGAAAAATGCATAAAAACGACTCTCATCGGCCACGTCCGACGAAAGCCCCAGTGCGAGTTCGACATCTTAGATGATGGTACACAGACAGACATGTATAGCTTTTCAGGAAAATGGTCATGGCTTCGAATCCATCCTGATTTTCCATACATACATACATACATACACCTAGCTGTGTCGATAACAATTGTCGAGTTCAAATCCCGATCGAAAGCTACTCTGATCGGGATTTGAACTTGTGAGCTGTTTACCAAAAACAAACAAACAGCTGTTTACCCAAGCTTCAGGAGTCCGACTTACTACCGTCTTCCCCCGAACATAACGCACCCTGAAAAGGAACGTATACAAGGTATGTTTAAGGAACGTATACAAGGTATGTTTCCGGCCAGATTCAGTCAGAATGAGGGTGCGTTGTGTTCGGGGGAAGACGGTAGAGTATTAGTTCGAATCCCAGCTTACGAGTTCAAATCCATACATATACCTACGGTGGCTGTCGACACAGCGGAAGGGGGAGGGGAGGGGAGGGGGGGGTAGAAAAATGTGGCCAGGGGGCGACAGCCAGGCGCGACACAAAATACGGAAGCAAAAAAAAAAAAGGAAAAAAACGGAAGCTACACACGTGTAGCTGTTGTTTGGTAAACAGCTTACGAGTTCAAATGCCAAGGAGGGGCGCAGCAGCACTGTGCTGAGTCTGTCTGTCGCTCCCGGCCCGGATTTTTCTACCCCTTCCACTGTTTTTCTGCTGACCCCTTGCCCTAATTTCTCTCTCTCCCTCTGTCTAATCTCTCTCTCTCTCTCTCTCTCTCTCGCGATCGCTCGCTCGCTCGCTCTCTTAGTCTCTATCCTCCTCTGCCGGCATTTCTTAGCCCCTTGCCCAGTTTTTGTGCTGACGCCTTGTCTCTCATCTCGCTATCTTTGTGTCTAATCTGTGTGTTTCTTCCCTCTCTCTCTCTCTCCCTCTCTCTCTAGTATCCACCTATACCCCTGCGCACATTTTTCTACCCCTTGGACTGTTTTTGAGCTGACCCCTTGTCTCTGATCGCTGTCGCGGATCTCTCCCTCTCTTTCTTGTGTCTACCCTCCCCTTCCTCTGTTTTTGTTCTGACCCGTTGTCTCTCATCTGTCTGTCTCTCCTTTTCTCTCTCCCTACTCTCTCGTCTCTACTCTCTAATTTGAATTCTCCCTTCTTTGGTTTCAGCAAAAGACAGAAGGGAAAAAGGTCGTCAGCCAACAGTCACACACCTGGGGCGTGTTCCCGCTTGACCTGAATTCCCTTCCCCCTCCCCCTCCCCCTCCCCCTCCGCCATTCCGACCGGAAATCAAATATAGATCAGCCGTTGAAAAAAACAAAGGAGGTATAGGGTGACGTGCACACAAAATAGGCCTCACTCATTTCGGCCTTAAGCGAGAGCCGAGTTGGACAATTACTATTTTACTATGAGGTGTCCTATGCTGTTACTATGTTTTTTACTATGCACTTTTTACTATGCACTTTTTACCATGATTCTTTTACTATTGAGTTTGACTATGCTTTTTCTATGATTCTTTTACGATGCTTTTACTATGCTTTCACTGTGCTTTTACTATTCTTTTTACTACTACCTTCTTCCCCCGAATACAACGTACGGTCATTATAGCTGTATCTAGACTGAAAGATGCCTCAAATACAGCTATAATGACCGTACGTTGTATTCGGGCGGAATAAGGTAGTCTACTATGATTCTCTTACTTCGAGTTTGACTGTAGAGTTTACTATGATTTTTTTACTACGCGTTTGACTATGCTTCTTGCTATGTATGATTCTCTTAGTATGCTTTTTACTATGCTTTTTGCTATCTACGATTCTCTTAGTATGCTTTTAACTATGCTTTTTGCTATCTACGATTCTCTTACTACGAGTTTGACTACGCTTTGACTATGCTTTGGCTTTATTTTGGTAGTAGTGTACTGTTATTTAAGTTAATTTAACTAGTATTTTAGGATGCCTTTACAGGCGGACTATTTTAATGAGCGTGCTTTCGGTTCATTAGGTAAACAGAAATGACCGCGTAATGACAAAAATAACGCCACTTTGTCTGCATAACCTATTTTGTT